TGTCACGTTTCAGTGGTAAGCTTTTATATATAACCAGATTTAAAAGCCCATTATGCCTCATAAATGTTTTATATTTATTTCTTAAAAGCTTTTTAATTTTGGTATAGTTTTTAGTATCCAAAATAAACTTATTGACCTATTACCTGAACTATCTTTTTCATCTGTTGCTGTTTAGAAATAAGTACAGTTATAGTGAAGTAGTGTTTTGTATGGAAGTCAAAATACTACTTTGTTTACATTCTGCTACTTTTATGAGAATACTTATTTAACTTGTATCGCTACTTTTTCAGGTAACAAGAATCTCACATTCTCTTAAACCATTATTTAAACATTATAAAATTCATGTATGTCCTTCATAAAGAAATACAAATTTATTTGTTTCTGAGGTATAATGTGCCTTTTATATGTGTTTAAAGTAACAGGAAATTTATGATTGAGCATGCTGTTACAAGGGTTTGTGCCAAGTTTGATGAATATAGAAGCATCTTCTATAGTTTCATAGCAATTTGAATTTGTTATAGGAGGCTTTTTAATGAAAACGGACATTTTTTAGAAAATGCTAATGCAGTAATGGGTTAATATGTGTTTAAGGTAAAGTTTAATGATTCTAAATTTCTCAGTATTATATTGAATATGACGTTACAAAAATCTTCTTCTCTGAAACTTCAGGGCATGATAGAGCTTACAATTAAGGTCTTGGGTGCCTAATGCAGAATCTCCTTTCTGAAGAGTAGTCATTTTCACTGAGAACACAGAATTTCGATAGGGCGTGGATTCAAACCCCAGAAGAGACACATTTTTTCTTCTTCAATTTTTGTCTTTTTTTCTACTTTATTTTTGTTTCCCAGATTTTGATTTTTTCTTTTCTATATCTTTTATATGAAATCTGAAATTTTATGCATAATTTTTACTGTGAATTGTGTGAAATCGGAAAGGGTAACAACTTAATATGATTATAATTTGGAAACGGCATGGTAAAAAGAAAATAATTATTAAATAAATTTGACAAAATTCAACAGATTTTCTTACCCCACCCTCTTCTTATTTGATGTAAAATAACATTGAGTACCTGTCTTAATAAACCAAAAAAATCTTTTCGTGGACATTTGTCATTGGTTTTATTTGTAGTTATTAAAAAACTATCGTTCTTTATTAGTACTTTTCCACAAAGAAAAATATGAAACTAGCAAAAGTTTTCTTCAGATAATGAAAACATATTCTTTGTTTTGTTGTATAAAACTGATACAAAAGTTATACTTGAATTGTCAATATTTTTCAAACAAGATGGTAAACTTTTGTAATTCTTTGTATTTATGTCCAGAATATAGTACAGTTTATAAATATAAGTTTTAAATGCCTTTTGAAAATACCTTAAATAATTTAGCATCAATCTCTAAATTTGGACTTATTTTATGGAATTTGAATTTGACCTTGGATGACTTTAAATATGATTCACGTTACATGGAATATACTAAATGAGTGAAGATTCAATATTAAATTTATTGAAAGAGTTGAATTAGATCATATTTTGCTAGCCACAATATTGTTATATTCAACGAGTTCAATAAATTTAGTATTAAATTTACACGAATATAATGTTTTATTTATCACATATATAAAATAAGAAAGGTAAACTGTTAAAAAGAGTAATTTTTCATTGACGCGCCTATATTGTATGTTAGGGCACTTTAACGCTATGTTTATATATAGCGCAAATGATGTCACGTCAAGATTTTATTACACAAATGTAATATCGTTTTTATTAAATGGCTTTTAATTCAGCCTTTATCACACTCCTGTGCCGTGGTTTATGTGATAAAATTTTTACTTCTGCACTGAAAGATATGATGAGCAATATAGGATCATCATTGCCATCTTGTTTCATTAATGGCCCTTTTTCAATGGCATTTGCCTCGACCGTCTCCTAATGAGCTTTAAAGATGTGTTAAAAGCCAATATGATATTAGATATTCCATAGTATTGTATAAATTATAATCTAAGATAATTGTATATCAATGCCTTTTGGTAGCAAAATGTATGAAGTTTCCAAACATTGAAGTTCTTTTGTGACATTTTAGTACTAGCGTATTGTGATAAATTGCAAAAAAATATTCTGAATATGATATATCCCCTTTTTTAGGAGGATACCAAGTTATAGTCCAGCTTGGAACAATTGTCCACAATTGGACCAACAGTACCGGTACTGTTACTGGTCTGACTCTAGTAAAGGTGACTTCACTTTGAAAGACATAGATATTCAACTGATTCAGGAGTCCCCATGTGGAATAAGTGTTACCTCAAACTTCACAGTGGATACCACACAGATAGGTTTGTATTATCCTCTAATTATCAAAATGACAGTTTACAGTTGGTCTGCCAACAATGTAAGGCCTGGTCAGACTGCATGCATGTGCTGATGGGCCATGCACTTTACTGGTGGCAAACATTTAGCTCGCTCCTGGTTACAGTAGGGTAAAGGTTAAAATATATGTGGTCTAGCTTGATTGTGATGAAATCCTATAACACTGCTTTAGTCAGCTTTTAGGGCGCAATAATACATATTGATGTCATATGAAAATATATGTTTGTGACCCCAAAAAGGCTTGAACCTGTGATTGCTAGATTCAGAGGAAAACATTTTATTTTTCTAATTTTGAGAAATAAACTTTTATAGGTGTCATATGAGGAAACATATCGATGGCTGAACGCAACACTGGTCTAACATGATTTTTACAAAATTTCAAGGAGGCTGTAAAAACTTCATAAATTCTACAAATTGGACATTTTTTTGTTATTCATTTTTTTTAGATTTTTATATCCAGGCATAAATTAAAAATTTTATTAAAAGGACTTTTAATAAATTAATATTGTTAAATAAAAAAATATTTGAAAAATATGAGTTAGATCATTTTCCATTTAATAAATCACCAGAAAAATTTTCAATATAATTTTCAGCAAACTTGGTCTAACTTTGACTTAGCCTATGTTGCTATTTTTACAAAATGGGTTCAATAAGGCCCAAAAAGAATAATCAATAAGTGCTACGTTTGAAAAAAATAGGATAACATAATAGAAAAAAGCTGTAACTTTAACCATATTTTAGTATGTTTTTAAAAGAAAACAACTTTTCTAAGAAAAACGACATGTTAATTTATACAAAATTGACAACTGTTTGCATAACATACTAGAAATAGGAGTCCCTGTAAGAAGAAGCAAATTGTATTAAATAATTATAAAATCTTGAAAATGGAGGGTGGGAGATCTTGTTTCATCAGTATTAATAGATCACTATGAGTAAAAAATCAACAACAACAAAAAACAAATTCTCTTGTAAATAGTAAATAATGTTCATCAACAGTGAATTATATGATTTAAATATTATTTTAAATCTTTTTGAAAGGTTAATTTACTATTACTTTTTTTTATTTCATTCTTATATGACTATGTAGAGATAATATAGCAATTTTAAACTTACAAATGTACAAAATAGAATTAATTAAGAGCCTTGGAATTACAATTCTGCAATTTTGGCAACAAAAATGTATAAAATGTAGAAATAAATATTTATGAATATGCCAGACCTAACTTAATATCAGCAATTATAACAATACTGATTTTTATTGTATTGAAATTTAACAGCAACACTGTGCTAACTAGAGGTAGTACAGTGTTATCATTCAATAAGTAAGTTTCGATTAATGCAACACAGTTTGAGTTAGCTCTCTGTTGCATTTAAGTTATACTCACATTTGAGATAGAGCAAAATGCCAAGTGGTAAATAAAACCCATAAAATTTCACAATTATTTCTAATATTTTATTTACTTATGTATTTCATACAATTTGGCTAAAAAATGCAAAAAAGTCATTTTTGAAAAAAAATCAAGGTAGACCAGTGTTGCTTTCAGCCATCGATATATGTGACCCCAAATGGTTTTGAACCTGCAGTTCCTAGGTTGAGAGGCATACATCTTTAATCACAAGACTAAATTCACTTCCAAATATATGATACATGACAATCTTTTACCCCTTCATTGGAAAAATAATGGCATTTTGTAGTTTTATGAGTTGTCTGTGGTCAAGTGGTTAAGATTTGGGACTTTAAACCACTTATCCTTTACTGCTGTGGGAGGCTTTGGAATCTTTCATTTGAGTAAGCTCTCCAGCTAGCTCACATAACGTCGAGGGTCCTACTTAGGTGCCTGTTTCTTGCCTAAAATAATGAATAGCAAGGCACCTGAGATTTTCCTCTACCACTAAAGCTTGAAAGTCTCATATTATATTATGACCTATACCATGTTGGAGAAACATAAAACTCAACAAAAAAAAAAAATAAGTAAAATGCCACTAACATTCTTGTTCCTTTTTCATTGAACTTAAATATTGTCAATAGATAACATACTTTTTGTTTGTTTTTTTATATTTAGTGAAGCCCAGACCAGTGACTGAATTAACGTCTAGAACTGTAAACAGTACATGTATTTATGTGCAATGGAGAACCATTCACTCCCAAATACAGCATGATAAAGAGCATAGGGTGACCATAACAAACAAGTGGGATAAGACTCAGGTAAAGTTTTTGCATTTAAGTTTGACTCTTTGACATTTCCAAACATGAAATGAGAAAATTTGGAAATAAGAAACAACGTGAGTAAATATACAGTAATTTTACGATGTGAGTACAAAGTTACTTGAAAATAAATTTTGTTTGTTAATGACTAAATTGCCATGTTCTTCACAGTGCTTAAATTTGAGTATAACTTAGTCGTATTTTGGCCTCTTGTGGTCAAGGTCACCGTTACTAAAAATAGAAAAAGTGGTTTCGAGGCAATAACTACAGTTGTGAAAAATATGCACTTCAACAACATTTAAACAAACAGTCAATTGGGATTAAAAAAAGAATTATAAAAAGAACAAAATTAAGTTACTAACAAATCAAGGCCATAACATTTTAAATTTAAGCTTTATTTACCTTAAATTAACACAGTTTTCTTTCATTTAGATATTTAAGTTCTACACAACAAATGAAACTGAAAGGTACGTCCACAATAGAACATTTTGTAATCTACATCCCTACACAAAGTACCAATTTACAGTGGATATTCAGCCAATAGGAGATGAGGCAGGGTTTTTCAGTGATCCGAAGCAAACAGAGGCGATGACATACTCTGATTGTGAGTAATGATATTTGAAAAGTTAAAAATTTAGACACAATGATTTAGGGGAATTATTTACAATTTCTCAAAGTTTCTTCATACAGTTTTTAGCTCACCTGACCACGAAGTGAGGTATAGTGATGGGGCTATGTCCGGCGTCCGTCGTCGTGCGTTGTGCGTCATGCGTCGTGCGTCGTCAACAATTGGGTTGTTAACAGTCTAGCAGTCACAGTTTTGATTGGATCATCATCAAACTTTGTCAGAATGTTTGTCTCAATGAAATACAGATCGAGTTCGAAGATAGGTTATCTCGGGTCAAAACCTAGGTCACAGGAGCTAAAAATAGAAAAAGCTTGTTAACACTCTAGAGGCTGCAGTTTTCATCAACATATTCTGGGAATTTGTCAGGAAGGTTGTTTTAATAATATCTAGGTCAAGTTCGAAGATGGGTCATCTCCGGTGAAAAACTAGGTCACAGGTGCTAAAAATAGAAAAAGCTTGTTAACACTAACAATTGGGTTGTTAACAGTCTAGCAGTCACAACTTTGTCAGAATGTTTGTCTTAATGAAATACAGATCGAGTTCGAAGATGGGTCATCTCCGGTCAAAAACTAGGTCACAGGAGCTAAAAATAGAAAAAGCTTGTTAACACTCTAGTGGCTGCAGTTTTCATTCAATCATTCTGAAAATTCGTCAGGAAGGTTGTTTTGATGATATCTAGGTCAAGTTTAAAGATGGGTCATCTCCGGTCAAAAACTAGGTCACAGGAGCTAAAAATAGAAAAAGCTTGTTAACACTCTAGTGGCTGCAGTTTTCATCTTAATATTCTGGAAATTTGTCAAGAATGTTGTTTTGATGATATCTAAATCAAGTTCGAAGATGGGTCATGTCCGGTCAAAAACTAGGTCACAGGAGCTGAAAATAGGAAAAGCTTGTTAACACTCTAGGGGCTGCAGTTTTCATCCAAATATTTTGAAAATTTGTCAGGAAGGTTGTTTTGATGATTTCTAGGTCAAGTTTGAAGATGGCTTATCTCCGGTCAAAAACTAGGTCACAGGAGCTAGAAATACAAAAAGCTTGTGAACACTCTAGTGGCTGCAGTTTTGATTAACATATTCTGGAAATTTGTCAGGAAGGTTGTTTTAATGACTTCTAGGTCAAGTTCGAAGATGGGTCATGTCTGGTCAAAAACTAGGTTACAGGAGCTAAAAATAGAAAAAGCTTGTTAACACTTTAATGGCTGCAGTTTTCATCTAAATATTCTGGAAATTTGTCAAGAAGGTTGTTTTGATGATATCTAAGTCAAGTTGGAAGATGGGTCATGTCCGGTCAAAAACAAGGTCACAGGAGCTAAAAATAGAAAAGCTTGTTAACACATTAGGGGCTGCAGTTTTCTTCAAGATATTCTGGAAATTTGTCAGGAAGATTGTTTTGATGACTTCTAGGTCAAGTTCGAAGATGGGTTATCTCTGGTCAAAAACTAGGTCACAGGAGCTGAAAATAGAAAAAGCTTGTTTACACTCTAATGGCTGCAGTATTGATTCAAATATTCTGGAAATTTGTCAGGAAGGTTGTTTTGATGATTTGTGGGTCAAGTTCGAAGATGGGTCATCTCAGGTCAAAAACTAGGTCACAGGAGCTAAAAATAGAAAAAGCTTGTTTACACTCTTTTTTTTCAAATATTCTGGAAACTTGTCAAGAATGTTATTTTGATGTTTTCTGGGTCAAGTGCTAAGATTGGTCATGTCCGGTCAAAAACAAGGACACAGGAGCTAAAAATAGAAAAATCTTTTTAACACTCTAGTGGCTGCAGTTTTGATCCAAATTTCCTGGAAATTGGTCAGGAAGGTTGTTTTGATGATGAATATGGGTCGTGTCCGGTCAAAAATAAGGTCACATTGCCCAAATATTGAAAAATCTTTATTACACACTAGAGGTCACATGTTTGACTCAGTTGTCATCAAACTTAGTCATGATGCTTGTTTAAGACATTGCTTGGATGCGGTTGTGTCAGGTGAGCAATCCAGGGCCATCATGGCCCTCTTGTTTAAGTTTTAAGGAGATGTCTTTCACAACCAGTAAAGTCAGAAAGCTGTCTTAGGGTCTTCTTTGTGTTGGTACAACGTAAAATTCAACCAAAACAATAATCAAGTTTGAAATGACTAAGTTGAACATAGCTTTAATTAAAGCCACAGTTTTATATAAGAATAAAAATAAAATCCATTCTACCCCCTGCAAATAATACAGAAAGTTTGATATAAGGATATGGCTATACTTAAACCAAAGAACTGCACCATTTATTTAATGTAGGTATTTTTTATAGAATTTTATAAACTTTCAGTTCCTAGTGCAAGCCCGGAGGTTGTCTCAGGGGGTTACGAGTGGAATCCGAATGTTTGTAAATCACCTTATACTAAAAGAAGTATCTGTGTTCCTTTAAAGGTAAGTTTTTTCAAAACAATCAGCCCATTACTGATGATAAGAACAGGTACCCAATCCAAAGATTTGTATAGTTAGAAGTAGGCACCTTTAATGTCATTTATTATTGAGCGTAAGACAAACTTTCAATGGAATAACTCATTAATTTTGGTTAAGGGCCGATATCAAACCCAGTAACTTGTAACATGTAAGGCCGTCAGACTTTCGATCCAATGACTTAATCAGAAACATTCATATCGTGGCTTCTTGAGAATTCAGCATGTTTATATGCCTGTAGCATGTAGTGTTTTATCTATTTTTCATTAGTAAGTAAGTAAGTAAGTAAGTAACGACTTTTTTAATGAGGCTAACACATTCGGTTTTTCGATCATCCATGCGGGCCTCAGCATATACATTGCATATACATAACAATATATACATTACATATTTTGAATAACATATATACACAAATAGAAAAAAAAACAAAAAACCGCATTTTCATAACCTGGGCATGAAAAAACATTATTTTACAAGTAAGATTAGAACAATATTGTAAAAACAAAACATTATACATTCTATTCTTGTGTGGCATTATCATTACAACAAAATGTACACTCATTTAATTAGAAAATTGCACTTAATACATGTGGCTTGAAATTTCTTTAAAGTATCTGAATTTCGAATATAAATTGAGATGTAATTCCATATTTTAGGACCAGAATAGTCAAATTATTTCCTAAACCACTGTTGTTGGTTTCGGTATGGCTAGTTTCTCACTTTGGTCAGGTCTTAAGTTGAAGTTGTGTTTGTCATTTATCATTTGGAATTTATTTTTCATATAATTAGGAAAAGATGGCTCATTTATAGATTTATACATGAGAATAGCTTTTTTGTACATAATTCTTTGATCAAAGGACATCCAATTAAGCTCTTTAAATAGTTCATTTGATGGGGAATCAAAGCTTTTATCCGAAATTATTCTAGCAGCTCTTTTTCGAAATTTGATAATTTGTGAAAGTTGTACACTACTGCAGTTTCCCCTATAGTGCAACAGTAGTCTAAATGAGGCAGAATATATGCATTGAAAAAGAGTTTTCTAGAATGAAGATTAAGATAATGTTTAATTCTAAGAAGCAGGTAGAGTTGTGAATTGCATTTTCCAAAAGTTTTTTGAATTTGAGTTTTCCATTTTAGATTGTTGTCAACATAGACACCTTGTACTTTTTCTGTGTCTGTAAATTCTATTTCTTTGTTATGAAGATACAGTGTAGGTGTAGCAGTATTTTCTAATTTTGTATTCCTAATTGACAGAGTCATAGCTTTTGTTTTAAGTGCATTTAGTACTATTGAGTTTTGCATGCACCATGTGTTAACATTATCAATATATGTTTGAAGATTTTCATTGACTTCTTGTACAATATTTCCTATAGAAGTTAACGAAGTGTTATCTGCAACAATATATGCATTAGATCTTTTTATATGCAGATGTATGTCATTTATATATATTAAGAAAAGTAAATGTCCCAGGATTGAGCCCGAGATTAGAACGTTACTTATAGGAGGAAAAACTTTTTCGATCACTTTTAGAGATACTGCCTATTCAATTTTTAGTAACCCAGGAAAACAAAACTGCCAAGATATGATCTAAAATGTGTTGAAACTGGCTTTAAAATGAACCCCAAAATGCCTTAAGCGATATGACTAGGTTTTTTTTCTGTTTTCAGTCCATTGCACCTATAAATGAAAATGGGCCAATGAAAGGCCTTGTTGTGACATACATCAATGAACAAGGGAAAGAAATGCGTGTAGACCTGGCGGAAGATTTAAAGTATGCTTGTACGTGTAACTTGATGTGCAATGCTACGTATGTGTTCTATATCAAAACCAGAAATGTGAATGGAACTTCCACAGTGTATTCCTCAATACGAATACCGGCATCAACATTAGGTAAGCTTGCCTAGAATCGATTTTACTCTGGTGCCCATTCAGGCCTGAAATATTAGCCAGCCGGGCATCTGAGGTCTTCCTCAATCTTTATTGCTGGAAAGCCACCATATGACACAGTGCAATGTAAAACCCAACCAAAAAAATCAATTTGAATGTATGAATTTGAAGTTCGGTTTCAATTGTTTACATGTTTACTTTTATCAATATGTGTAATGGATTGCCCTTCTTTTTATGTAAACAATCGTTCGGAATTCGGAGTAGACAGGTTTCGGATCCGAAAGGTTTTTTACTATTGAAAATAGAACGAATAAAATCGGTACCGGACACTTCGTTCGGATAAGAAAGGATTCCGGATTAGAAGGGTTCGGATTACCAAGGCTCCATTGCAATTTTAACAGATTGCAGTATTGAAATACATGTATTAGGCTATGGGGTGTTAATTATTAAACATTATTGAGGCAATTAAGAATTCTGAAATAATAATAACCATTTGTGTGTTCATAAGTTTTTTTTATTTACAGGTATTGAACAACCAAATTTCATTGTTGAAGCAGGAAATGGCACTAATGTGACAGTCAGTTTGCCTGAAACAAAAGAAGCTTCCACTTTCATTGTATTTTGGTGTAGAAACAGAAATGGTAATTGTGAAGTGAGTATTAGACTTCCTAAAATCTTTAAAACTTGTATGAATTTTTACAGCTTTTCAAATTCTGAAAAATTGTATCTCCTGTGTTTAAGCAGCATGCCTCCAGATTCATGCCAATTTTCAGGAAAAATTTAAATATGTATTCATTTAAATATTGTGAAGTAAAAAAAAGAAAGTAGTTAACGCATTGCAAACTGCACTTGAGACCTACAAAATTTACCAAACATAGGCAGAATATGCAAACAACACCTTTAATACGTTAGTTACGCAGTAGAAACATGGTCATAAATACTACAAAATCAGTCAGTAATGGCATATAGCATGTCAATTATTTCTTTAATTGACAATATTTTTACTCTTCTTAAAATCTTATTACATTTTTTTTCAATGTTGAATTTCTTTTCAACATAAATCTTGTTGACATAGCATTTCAGAATAATTAATGAATGGCCGAAGACACTCCGCTGTCTATTAAATCCTCAAAGAAAATTACTGAGAGTTAAGGGGACTTAACTCTCATCCTACTGAGCACAAAGGACTTTATTTTGTACATTGAAGCTTTTGATTGGATAGATTATTTTAAATCTTTAAAGTATTAGCTTTATACAATCGTTATCACAGTGAACGTGGATATTGTTCACACTCGCTTAAAATAAACACTCCTTCTATATCTCAGTTTTGATAGTCCTTTTTAACTTTCAAACAAAACGTCAAGCTATTATTATCACTGCGGCTGTGTTGTCATCATCAGTGTCATTGTGCAAAAACGTTCATGTATCCCATTAACTCAAATTTTTTAAGGTATCCATATGAAACTTGGAATACTTGCTTATCATGGTGAGAGGTAGTTGTAAAGGACATAATTCAGAAAGCTTTATGTTTGGAGTTATACCCCTTTTTAACATAGAATTTTTATCAAAAGTTGTTAATTTAATTGATATTCGGTATCACCGGGTGCTATGCTCTTGTTCTTTTGAACAAAAGCTTGAATTTGTAACTACCCACCTCGAATACACATAAATACATAAAACGTGCATAAAGTATGGCGACCCATTTCAGAAAAAAAATAACATAGATATTTTTGTATAGTATTTTCTTTATCAGGAAAAGGAAAACATAAACTGGAAAGTGTTTGCTGGGAACACAAGAGAGGCTGTCATACAGATAGAGAAAACTAACTCACCACAAGATTTTCTGTATGCTGTTAGCTTACTGACCGATCAAGGGAGTAGTGGATTTTCATGGCAGGGGTGCGTTTACCTTAAAAATGCATGTAAGTTCATTTTAGCTCGTTTTTTCTGTAGAAAAAGTAAAGCTATTGTGATCGCTGTGGTGCCGTTGACATGCAGACACTTTGATGCAACACATTTCTTAAACCGTTTCAAAGTTATCAATTTGAAACTTGGAATGCTTGCTTATCATGACAAAAGGAAGTTGAAAGACAAGGGGCATTATTCTGAAAGCTATATTTTGTGCCCCCACTTAAGGGGGGACGGGGGCATTAAGATTTACCCTTGTCCGTCCATCCGGGCGAGCATCCAATGGTCTATGAGCTTCATTCCGTCCATAATTTTAGTTAAAAGAGAAGGAAATCCCATTAACCAATAGGCTTATGTGGTTATTGTACTGGTTTATGAGGAAAATGCCACATAAAGATCAAAGAAAAAGCACATAAACCCCAAATGTTGGCACGTCCGTCCTTCCGTCCGTCCGTTCTCTTTTGTGTGGCACGTAACTCAAAAAGTATTTGACCTAGAGTCATGAAATTTAACTGGAAGGTTGATCAGCATGTGTAGTTGTGTACCTGGGTATTTTCATGTGGATTTATATAGTGTTTTAAGAGCTATGGCCCTTGACTTAGTAAAATTTTGCAATTTTCAACTTGTGTCGCATGTAACTCAAAAAGGATTTGACATAGAGTTATGAAACTTTACAGGAATGTTGATCAGCATGTGTAGTTGTGAACTGGGTTTTTTTGTCTGAATTTATATAGTAATTTTTGAGTTATTGCCCTTGACTTAGTAAAAATCGTTTCATTATGTTGTGTTATTTGTTCCTTTAGTGCTTGAGTAAGAATCAACCAACTGCACTGGAAAAATGATCAACATCACTAAATTACAGGAATAATGATTAACATCACTGTGAAGCTATGCACCTGGGACTTTGCATGTGGAATTTTTGTGCCCCCAAATAAGTGGCGGGCATTTAGATTTACCCTTGTCCGTCCGTCCGTCCCTCCCTCCCTACTTCCGTCCGTCCTTCCGTCCTTTCGTTCTCTTTTGTGTCAAACGTAACTCAAAAAGTATTTGACCTAGAGTCATGAATCTTAACAGGAATGTTGATCAGCATGTGCAGTTGTGCACCTGGGTATTTTCGTGTGGATTTATTCAGTATTTTAAGAGTTATTGCCCTTGACTTAGTAAAAATTTGCAATTTTCAACTTGTGTCGCACGTAACTCAAAATGTATTTGACCTAGAGTCATGAAACTTTACACGAATGTTGATCAGCATGTGTTGTTTTGCACCTAAGTATTTTTGTCTGGATTTCTTTAGTATTTGTAGAGTTATTGCCCTTTACTTAGTAAAAATTTGCAATTTTCAACTTGTGTCGCATGTAACTCAAAAAAGATTTGACCTAGAGTCATGTAACTTTACAGGAATGTTAATCAGCTTGTGCAGTTGTGCACCTGGGTATTTTTATGTGGATTTATTCAGTATTTTTAGAGTTATTGCCCTTGACTTAGTAAAAATTTGCAATTTTCGACTTGTGTCGCATGTAACTCAAAAAGTATATGACCTAGAGTATTGAAACTTTACAGGAATGTTAGTAAGCATGTGCAGTCGTGCACGTGGGTATCTTTGTCCGGATTTATTTAGTATTTGTAGAGTTATTGCCCTTGACTTAGTAAAAATTTGCAATTTTCAACTTGTGTCGCATGTAACTCAAAAAGGATTTGACCTAGAGTATTGAAACTTTACAGGAATGTTAATCAACATGTGCAGATGTGCACCTGGGATATTTTCATGTGGATTTATTCAGTTTCCTTAGAGTAATTGCCCTTGACTTAGTAAAAATTTGCAGTTTTCAACTTGTGTCGCATGTAACTCAAAAAGTATTTGACCTAGAGTCATGAAACTTTACAGGAATGTTGGTCAGCATGTGTAGTTGTGCACCTGAGTATTTTTGTCCGGATTTATTTAGTATTTGTAGAGTTATTGCCCTTGACTTTGTAAAAATTTGCAATTTTCAACTTGTGTCGCACGTAACTCAAAAAGGATTTGACCTAGAGAATTGAAACTTTACAGGAATGTTCACAGAAAATGTTTGCAAATTTCAACTTGTGTCGCGTGTTACTCAAAAAGGATTTGATGTAGAGTCATAAAACCTTACGGGAAGGTTGGTCAGCATATGTAGTTGTGCACCTGGGGTTTTTTGCTTTTGGATTTATCCAGTATTTGTATAGTTTTTCCCTTGACTTATCAGAAAACGTTTTATTATGTTGTTATTTGTTGCTTGAGTGCTTGAGTTAGAATCAACCAACTTTACAGAAAAATGATCAGCATCACTAAATTACAGGAATAATGATCAACATCACTGTGAAGCTCTGCACCTGGGACTTTGCATAAAGATATTTTTCAGTTTTGTAAGAGTAATTGCCCTTGACTTACAGTAATATAAATTTGCAATTTTCAACTTGTTCATGGTTCAAAAAGTATTTGACTTGTAGGCCTGAAAGTTTACAAGAATGTTGGTCAGCATGTGTAATTATGCACCTTGGGGTTTGCTTGTGGATTTATTCAGTATTTGTAAAGTTCTCGCCCTTAACTTAGTAAAAGATTTTTAGTTTTCAACTTGTGGCACATGTAGTCCAAAAAATATTTGACCTAGAGTCATAAGATTGAGTGAACAGTAGCGTGTGGGGGCACCCGTGTCCTCTGGACACATTTCTAGTTTCTGTTTTATAAGAGTTATTGCCCGTGACTAACAGTAGGAAATAATTTTGCATTTTTCAACTTGTTCATGCATAACTCAAAAAGTATTTGATTTGAAGGCCTGAAAGTTTACAAGTATGTTGCTCAGCATGTCCACTTATGCACCTAGAGGTCGTGGATTTATTCAGTATTTGTAAAGTTCTTGCCCTTTACTTACTAAAAGTTTTTAGTTTTCAACTTGTGGCACATGTAGTCTTAAAAATATTTGACCTAGAGTCATAAGATTTACAGAACAGTGGCGTGTGGGGGCACCCGTGTCCTATGGACACATTTCTAGTTTTAGAGTAATGTGAGTAATTTAGAGTTATGTTCCTTATGACATTGAACTTCTGTCAAAAGTGCATATTTAGTAGAATGGGTTATAACTATGACAGTCATCCATATTAAATTAAGAATACTTGATTATCATAACAAAGCGCAACTGTTAGACATTATTCTGAAACCATTATTGTTATCGAGTTATGCCCCTTTTTACTTAGAATATTTATGAAAGTCATTACCGTTAACAGACCAGCGTACTTACTGCATCTGGTACTTTTGTCTGTACAAAAATATACCTTGTTTTCTGTTATTTAGAGACATAACCTGTTTATATTTTATTTTCTATCTTTGCACAACAAGTGTTATAGACTGCTTGCTGTCTTTGGTTTCAAAAATGCTCTTTTGTATCACTTTTTTTATTCCAAAGCTGAAACATTAATTGGGCCTCTGAAACCAAGTGACTGTTGTCACTAACATTGCACTGGCCCCTAATCACTGTAGGCTTGAATTTTACCCAGGACTTTAAACACTTTCAAGTGAGAAAACTATCTAGCATGCTCAACATAAGATTAGTGGATTGTTCCAAGAATGCTGGAAACTGTGTTATTTACACATTTTTTTTCAAGATTAGTAACAAAATGCAAAATGTTTTTGTTTTTTTTCACAGTAATTTTGTTACGATTGGAATAGTAATAAACATAACATAATAAATTAGTATAGGTGTTTTCCGAGTAATGGTGCCTGATCCTTCCTTGTATACTTGAAATAGTTTGTCTACATGTATTTGGTTCTCTGTGACAGAATGTTTAATTTACTCACTTCAAATCACTGCTGTTTAGTAGAATTCCCACCAGGGGCTTCTGATTCTTAAACATGTATGTGAGGAAGCTATTCAGGTAGCTTACAAAATGTTGAGATGGGTTCTTCTCAGTTACAAAACCATGGTTGAAATAGTAGAGTCCCTGAGGATTTTGCGTACCTCAGGAAAGCAGGACTGTCACCATATGACTTAACAGTGTTTTTGTTACTTAAAACTCAAATGAATAAAGAAAAAAGTATCGTCTACATGCATTTAGACATTAATTTTAATAATTAATAGTAAATCTGTAGAAATGTGCTGTTTTCATGAGCATTTCGTCACATTAGTGCAGTAACTGAATAAGTCCTTCCAAATTTATAAGGAGTTAATCAGTTATTGCACTAAGGTTACGATTTAAAATTAAACTGTTTAATCACAATACGTTTTAAAATACATGTAGATGTCAGTATTCTGTTGTGATCTTATATTAACTTTGATATTTTCTTTTGTTCACAGCTCCGCAACGGGAAGTTAGAAACCTGGCTGTTTCCCCGGGACCAGAGGATGATTCGTTGGTGGTGACTTGGGATAAATTGTCTTGCCAGTCAGATCAACCGTATATAGCCAAATACAATGTGCGGTACAACGAAGTTAATAATCGGCACTATGCAGGTAAGATAACCATTAGTACATAATTATATAAGGGAGGGGATGTCTTGTCCATTGGTCGCTCAGTCCCGATAAAAATTGTGTGTCTGTTCTATTAGACCTATTAGACCTATACCCCTTTGGGAAGATAACTATGTAAAGCTTTTTTACTAAATTATCTCCCTTTTTATTTTCTTTAATTTTCATAATTTTCTCAAAACCATCACACTTATTCATTTCAAACTTGAAATACTTGTTGAATATCAACCACAAAAATTCTGCTTAACAGTTTTTTCAGAATTATGGCCCCTTTTCTACTTTGCTTTTATCGTACTATCAAGAAAAGGCATGCACTGCACCTCTGACAGCTCTTGCTTATTTCTTGATTTTGTCACTTAGTATCATTGGATTCAAACAATGGGTTTGATTCCCTCAAAAGGTTTGTTGAATTCCTTTATATGAGGAATTTGTCCATATTGTTTGTCAAAAATCTGTGGACACGTGTACCTTAAACAGTGCACAGGAAAGGTCAGCCGTCCAGTTAACTCAATAGGTATAGCATTAGACTATGAATCGGGCGACCTGGATTTGATTCCCAGAAGGTGCAGGTCACTTTCATTGTGATTGATCATGAAATCTTTTCTACAGTCATTTGTGCTGTACCACTGCTCTGGTATGTACAGAAGGTTCAGTTCCTTGCGGAAGTGAATGCAACTAGTACTGGTAAACTGCTAAAAGTCTGCCCAGGAACGATGCAGTGGCTGAACTGTACTCTATTAAATTCAATGTGGCTTACTGCTGTGATCCAGAGTGAAAACTTAGTACCAACACCACCACCAGGAATGTAAGGGGCTTGTGATACAGGGGTTATCTGGGTAATTAATGTTTTACCTGTAATAACTTGGGAATTTGCCACATACCGTGTCAGTTTGACTGAAACACAACCAATGGAAAAAAAGGTTATTTTTATTGAACCAGGGCTTTTTTGTTTCACCTATCCTAGCTTAAAGATCCTGTAACACAATTTTTTATGATTTTAAATCACAAATACGATGCTCAATTTAAGATTTATTAATATTATAGGTTCCAAAAAGCATTATTTATAAAGATATTACCAAATTTTACATTTACATGTTAATAAAGGGAGGTTATTAGAAATAGATTTTCTATAAAGTTTAAGTCAAATTTTCCAATAAGAAATGAATGCATATATTTTAATGAATACATATAATATGCACACATATTTGCAGTACATATTTTGCATATTCTTTGATGTTTGAAAATTGTTTTAATAGCATAATTATGTAAATATATAAAATTTCAATGAGTGTGGTTAACCTCTTTACTCACAACATACAGAATCTTTAAGCTTGATGAAACAGATCGAATTGGAAAAGCAGCATTTTTTTCTGAGTAAGAGAACAGGTTTCCTTTTCAAATATGCTTATAAGTTTATATTGACACATAATATAGAGAGATATGGCCCGCATTCCTTTTTCATTGTCATGAACGATGCAAATGTGAAGGAAAATAACAAAATGGGTCTTAGTGATTGTTATAGACATGGCTAATTTGTACAATGTTATACATGTATATATAAATTATGTATATGTTGGTTATTTTTTTCCTTTCAGCTGTGAATGTATCAGCTTCTGGTGAAGCCAGGGTGGTGTTACGTGATCTAAAGCGAGACCAAGCTTACAGTGTTTCAGTGAGAGCTGTCACAAGGACGGGAAAATATGGACCAATCGACCAACCTAAGACCAGCACACCTGTTAATAATAGTGTGTACTGCATGAACTTTACTACTTTTTTGTCAATGTTTTCAATTCTTTTGTATTGAGTTTTAAAAGTCTTAAAGGAACTCCACTGAGGTTTAATTTGTTACAAGTATCAGCTGGGCCACTTGTAACAGAAAGATATCCAAAGATAATATTGAAATATACTCAGAAATAAATTTAAAATTGTAATTTTCTGCTTTTTTAGCCTAATTTCAGTGAAAAGCGTTGCATCACTTTATAGTTTTAAGTCATTTTTCACAATTCTAATAATTCTTCTGGAAAAACGGAGAGAACAAATGATCTCAAATTTTGCACACATGTTATTAGTCAAGACCTACATCAAATTGAGCATTAATCTCGAAAAATCCTATTCAGTCCTGTAATGTGTCAAGAAAATCTCAGTGAAGTCCCTTTAACAATGCAATTCATCACACAATTTGGATTCTACATTGTCTTCTTAAACAAACACAGATGGAGAAATAATATATAGAAAATACATGGTTGATGTCGGGATGGAGAAGGTTTATCCGGTGAGCGAGAAAGTGTATCTTGGCGAGCCATGTATTTGTTTTATCCTGCTTTTTAACATGTTTTTAGAATAATTAAATGGTTTCATTCTTCTTTTTCCACGATAAAATAGTATCTTTATGCAGTTTTGTTTTGCTGCTAAACATGTGACGTGATCATGTGTCGTAATGACCGGAGATAGACAGGGGCGTAGCTAGGCCGAAGTCGATATTACGCACGCTCAGGCAGGGGGTTAAGGGGGCCGCTTTAGGCCCCCTTGCAGGTCCAGGGCAGAGCCCTGGCAGGGGTCCAGGGGGCGAAGCCCCCGGAAGCTTATTGATTTTCACCATTTAGTGATGTTAAAATTATGCATTTTCATGCCCATTTGAGGTCCAATATATTACAAATTGAAGTCAGAAGGAATTTAATATTATCATTAATAACTTTTTATGTATTGATATGACTTGTGTTAATATGTGACGTGATTTAGAGAACGTCTTAGATATATTTGCTAGATCGTATAATAATATTTCAAGGTATTTGATAAACGTTATAATTATAAGGATATACATTGAATAAACATACGCAAACAAATGACGTGTACGCTTTTACTAGTCAGCAAATAAAAGTGACAAACACAAAATTATCTACAACAACGTCAGTCTAGATCACTCTGTCTCTATTGATCTGCAAAAGTCCTCAGCCAGAGAGGTGATAAATTTGGATAAATTTCTGTTTGTATATCCTGCAGCACAGATTATATAGTGGATGGAGACTGCAGTGATGTTTCGCACCGTGTTATAGATTTACTGAAAATTATGTGTTTTCTTCATTTTTTCTCAATTAAAATATCGTTACTAACTAAAATCTAAAAATGTTATCAGTTACTACGTAGCGATGATTATTATCTTAAATTACTTTTGTCTGCTTAATGTTCGTGTAGCAGTCGAATATCTGGTATCATCTCTGTTTCTCGTGCTTTGATGAAAACGGTCTTTCATGGCTGTCATTTACTTATACGGCACATAACTAGAAAACTGATTTCTTTTTGGGCTTATATGCTATATATCACACTGAAAAGTGTCCTTCGCATTTGTGAAAATATTGCAAATTTTCATTTTTACGTGTGATATCTAGCATACTCATTTATAATATACAGTAAATTTTTGTTATTTGTTTGTTTTTTTATCTGTTTTTTTTTTAATTTATAAGAGAGGTGACATACATAATGCCATTACAATAAAACCCATAGAAAATTATTTTATCATTGCAGATACTATGATATATACATGTATAGGATCTCACATGAGTTGTCATTGATGTAAAATATGATATAAAACTATTAAAGAAAAAGTTACAAACCTTTGACGAGAGTTTAAGAATTTTTTAAGTAATGGTAACTAATGTAAGTTTCTTTTTTATTACACAACAAATCGCATTCAAATTTGTATAAATAAATGAAGTTAAATAAAAGTTATATCGCCAACACAATTTTCTTTTTCAAAGAGTTCAATCAGATATAATAATGATCCATAACGAATATATCTGAAAGATATATTCGTGTGGGATTATATAATTTGCCAATAAGTAACTGATGAAAGAAATTATAAAAGTAAAAAAAATGCCTTTGAGACATAAAAATAAAAGATTTCTGGGGCATACTGGGCCTTTAAGGTTATACTTTTAGGAGCGTCACTGAAAAAGAAATCAACAACAACAAACACAAGAAAAACGTTTTTAACTGTTATATAGGTACATAATTATTTATTCTTCTTGTGCATTTTTTTTTTTCCGATTTAATACAGTTAAAGGGATTTTTAGTATTTTGTATGGAAGTCAAAATACTACTTTTTTACAATTTGCTACTTTTATGACAAATAATTTCACATTAAGCGCTTCTTTCTTCATGTTAGAAGCATTTAACAAGCTCTGGGGCCATTCATTAAATGTTTTAAAGCAGGGCAGCACATCTCGAATTCATGCTAATTTTCATGAAAATTTGAAAATGTATTTAACGTTTTTAATATTGTAAAGTTACCAAAAATAATGCAAGTTATACATTATCAATGCCACTTACAACCTATGTAAATTACTATGAAGAGGTCAAAATATGCAACAATAGCCCTTACTGTGTTCGTTACGCAATAACATTTAGTTATACATACTGAAAAATCCCGGTCATTAATAGCACATAACATGTAAAGTTTTACTAGAATTTTTGAATCTTTACTGTATCCCTTTCCTAAAATCTTACTACACTTTTCTCAGGTTCGATTTTATCGAAATATTTTTGCTCATTTTGGACGTGCAGCTTTAAAACTTGATCTCGATCATTTTCTCCAATTTTTAAGAAGTAATAAATATATTCATTTCTGAGGCATAATTGCCCGTTTTCTCGACAGAATAAAACGTGGTTATAACAAGCGACGTCGTGTGATTTATCTTTCTGGCACCCCATATGCCAACGTTTAAACGAACACATTAATGAACAATGAAACTATAACGTTTATCTGTTCCTGAAAAAAACATTAGCTATTTGCTCCATGGGCGCCGCATCAGTGGCCACGCCGGCGATACAGCCAAAGAATGGAGCGGCGTTGCAGGTGTCCACAATTCCTTTGCTGTTAATCTAGCCACATACAGTAACTCGTTCTGTATGTCGGGCGAATTGTATTTCGAGCGAGCATTTCTGCCGTTAAAACCGTATTATGCTTCATATAGTTCTTTATGAATTAATACTCTTTACGTTATATTATTATTGGAACTTATTACCTAAATACTTCGAAGATCTATATTTATATTAGAATCAATGATATAATTAGAGCTTGATCTATATAAATGTTGGAACCATGCCTCAAAACACTCCAAGACCACCCACGCCTATACCCTTTAGTTTTCCTACCGTTTTTAGTATATTTGAGTTTTCGTTTTCCTGGATCAATGTTACGCACGTCGTCGCCTAACTCTTAAAGTGTCCTATGTCCATTTTTGCAAAATTTGAGATAAATGTACCATTCTTTTTACCTTACATTGCTCTATCTTTTAAGCTTTGGGTTCAAGGTTATGATGACCTAGAAACGGAGTTATCGAGTATGAACTTTGCTCTATGTCCACATTTCGCAATGATTGTTTTATCCTTATAGTAGGGTATGTACGTTACTTAGGACAATTTTATAGTGAAACCTGAAATAAGCCAATCAAAACACAAACTGATGGTCAGGTAACCTTGGTCGTTTTCGCGATAATAGTGCGCTAAGTCAAAACTTCCGGTAGAGAATGTTCTTGCCAATATTTTTTTGTAATGCCATTGATTGTGTTTCCAAGCAAGATAAAGTAATAATATGTGAGTATATTAAACTAAAATCTCTGTACATGTAACTGCAATTTGCTTTTTTAATGTCAAATGCACTGTAATCTCAGAATTTTAAGAAGTTTTGCAAAACCTAGTAAATATAATTCGGATAAACAATATTTCGGATACATAAATAAGTACATAAAAGTTTACCTTTTCATTTTTATCGTGAGCTATGCTAAAATCATTGATATTATAATCTACTTAAATTTAAATATCATTATAGGTTAACCTCATGGTGTTGCCCGACGGCGTCCTTATACACATTTTGGGCTATATCGGCATTCAAGATCTGTTGATAAAAGTGAACAAAGTTTGTAGAAAATTTAACGATTTGATAAGCAATTGTAAAGACTGTGGTGTGATTTTGAGATTGATTATCCTATTGTGTCACTGCTGTCTAGACAAAGTTGGATATAATGTTAAATGGAATGAACAAGTCGCTGGACGAGGATCTAATGAACTTGCTAGTGCTGTAACTGTTATTTTAGAAAACGCTTTGAAGGCGCATGCTCATGTTAAGAAAATAACGTTGTGGTCTGATAGTTGTGTACCACAAAACCGGAACAGCATGATGACCACTGCTTTATAACTATTTCGACAAAATTACCCTGAAGTGGTTGAAATTGTTCAGAAATTTTGTACTCGTGGACATTCCAGTATTCAGGAAATTGATAACATTCACTCACATACAGAGAAAAAGCTGAAAGTTTCTGAAATTTACACTCCTCGAAGTCTAATTAAAAAACATAATCAAGTCCGTCAGGATAAAACCGTAATCATACAACTAAAAATGACGTGATTTTTGACTATCGAGCGGTTGCAGAGAAATTCACATTAAACTCTGTCCCATTAACAAGAGTTAAAGCATTGAAATATGTGAATGGATTGCCGTTTCAAGTGTTTTTAAAGAGTCATTTGATGTCTAGTACACAGAAGCGGACAATTCTAAGGACAACAAGGTTATCTTTTAAAGTAGACCTAATTCCTTTGCCTAAAATTCTAAAATGTGGAAAGGGTTTGTCTGATGACAAGAAAAAAGATATAGAAACTATGCTACGATTTATACCGACAGAGGATCGCATGTTCATGAAAAGTCTGTGCAAAATATAAACCTTTATAAGTGCAAGTGCTATAGTATTACGTAAACAGACATCGTAGGAATTTGATCATGGTATTATTCTATAACACAATTTATCAAATACTCATCCACATCTACAGGGGATTAATATTATGTTTGAGAAATTTACTAAACTCAATGTTATGAAGAGACATTGGAATATATTTTCTTTTTTGATGTTGTACTTTGGTATCATGTTATTGATGCATTTATGTTTAAAACTGCAAGCCACATGAATAGCTGATTTACGTTTAATATTAATGACTATTACATGGCAGATTTGATGAAGTACCTTGGCAACAGGTTTTCTTACATTGTTAAAGAATGTAAATAACATTTTAATAATGTTAACCTTAGTCCATTGAAAAAATGTTAGATAATAGAAAATTCAAATCTTTCATGATTTTTTGTTCACGGTATGACGAGACGCTGTTTTAAGTTTTTGTTTAAGACAGGCATTTTGCATTAATGTCAGTTGTATAATTATGTTAATACATACAGATTGAGATTTTGCAAAGTAACATGCTGTATATTATGCAAATACATGTATAAAGACAATTTTATACCTTCTATATGATGTATATCTATATTTGTCTATAATTAAGATATGTTTCTTTGTTACGCAACTTACGATCAGTACGTATTTATGTTTAAGATATCAATTTCTATTTGTCATAACAAGAAGTCATATTTATTAATGATACAAAAGTTATGATAAATAGTTATAAATTGTTTAACTTGTTGTGACTAAACATCTTGGGACCAATATCATAAAGTCTTAACACTTTAGGTTTGATGCATTACGTTACGTTTAGGTCGGTTTTCTGAATTTATTTTCTCATAACTTATACAGCAAGTTTTATACTATTATACAAAGAAACATCCAGTCGCTCATTTGCGTTGAAAAAATTTTTGCGACGGCTTGTAATGATTTACAATAAAATCTAATTGCACATACGGACAAGCAAAATAAGTGCATTTAAATGTTAAAACAGCCAGTCTATGTAATAATTGCTACCATTAAAGTATCGTATCTCTGGCTCCTTTGTTTAATTTTGGCATTACTTTGCTCTATCTCCAATGACGCACTTTTAGAGTGACTTTTTAAGAAATATTTTGACCTTTTGCTCTATCTCAAATTTGTTTTTTTCATATTTACTCTCAGTCTTTCTCCAGAAAGAAAAATAAACACTTTTTTTGAGCAATAAAATCCTAAATATAGATGTGTGAAAAATTTCAATTCAGTGGGGTCACGTGGAAAAAAATATTAAGATGCAAAATGTTTAAAGTCGTTTTTCTCAAAATAGCATTTTGGCAGTTAGGACATTTTAAGAGTAAGCCGACGACGTGCGTAGGTGCGTAAGGCTAGCTACGCCCCTGATAGATAAGGTTATCCGGCAAGGCTTTATCCAGCCGATGATATAGACAGTAGCAGGATAAAAATGTAAAATGACTGCTTATTGGTGTATATGGGTACAAAAGTATTTTATCCTGCTACTGTCTATATTATCAGCTGGATAAAGCCTTGCCCGATAAACTTATCTATCTCCAGTCATTACGTCATATGATGACGTCACATGTTTAGCAGCAAAACAAAACTACATATATAGATGCTATTTTATCGGGGAAAAAGATGAATGAAACCATTTAATTATTCTAAAAACATGATTAAAAGCAGGATAAATCAAATACATGGTTGGTGTTGGAATGGAGAAGGTTTATCCGGTTCGCTTCGAAAGTGATTCTTGGCGCCAAGATACACATTCTCGCTCACCGGATAAACGTTCTCCATCCCGACATCAACCATGTATTTTCTATTTTCATTTCAGGTTTGAGGCAATGGGAAATAGTATTATTTACGACTGGTGTAGTGATTGCAGTTATTGTTATTAACATCATTGTAATTTTAGCTATAAGGTAAATTTTATAACATATCTTCATTATTTATATTTTTGGTACTTGTATATATACATGTAAGTATGTGAGGTATCCTGTTTAAAATGTATAAATCGTGCATGTGTGGTAAAATTCATCCTTGTCCTTGGGGGACAACTGGCCCTTCCTTGAGAACAATTTTAAATCTTAAACTTGTTTGTTTACTTTAACAAATCATAAAATCTAAGTTCAGTTCATCTGACTTGATATGCTCCGAGTGTTGTTAGTGTTGATGATTTCCTAATTATTTGCTGTTGTCTGTCATCTGTTGAGTGTTGACACATTTTTGTCATGTCTCGTTATTCACTATTTTGTTTGTTTCATCTGGTTTTTACGTTGATTTCAAAAACATATTTTGGTCATATCTGTGTCTGTCCACCAACGCGACTTTTCTGGATAACTAACCAGTAATTTCTAATTTCTCTACAAGTGACCAAATACTAATCCAAAATGTTTTCTGAATGAGCTTTAAGAGACAAGTAGGCTTAATGTCCGAGACTAATTGTTATGGAGGAATTTCACCTCTTCTCTTACGGATCGAACCAGTGCCATTTGGATCGCAAATCAAATGCGGTCCCTATTGAGCTAAGTGAACCGACCCAATTTTGTTAAAGAAAATTCGGCAATTGTTAGAACAGCACATGCTTGATAAAAAAATATTGGTGGAAAAAAATAATGTATTAAAGACTGATTACATAGTTTATCATTTTGATTTATGATCCCTTTTTTGTTGAAAAAGTTAAAGTCAGAGTAATTTCTAAATGCCAGTAAGAAAATACATAAATATTACATGTTTTAGAGTAAATGGTGTTATGATTTTAATAAATCAGTAAGATGAAAAAGGCTTGTACAATCTTAATGAATTTTGATTGTTTGTTTTTCCATTTTTACAGCTGTTTCAGAAAGAAAAGGAAATCCATTTTGGAACAGGGGAATATAAAAATTGATGATGATTTTGTAAGTATTGAATTTAGTCTTTACTCTAACCTTGCACAAAAGAGCCTCTGTGTTAAATCGTAGACATTCTATTCCCTGGCAAAAAATAACGTTTTCATTTTTCCGATCAAGATATGAGTAGTAAATAAAACCACATGTTTTCTGATATAGTAACTGTTAACCTTTTTATTATGCCCCCACTTTAAAGAAGAAGGGGTATATTGCTTTGCATTTGTCTGTCGGTCCGTCGGTCCGTAGACCAAATGGTTTCCAAGTGATAACTAAGGAACGCTGAGACCTAGGAAATTCAAACTTGGAATGATGGTTTGCCATGACCATTAGATGACCCCTATTGATTTTGAGGGTCAAGGGGTCTAAGATCAAGGTCACATTGACCTTGTAAGTCAAAACGGTTTCCGATCAATAACTCAAGAACGCTTAGGCCTAGGAACTTCAAACTTGGCATGATGATTAGTCATGACCAGCTGATGACCTCTATTGATTTTGGGTCAAGGGTCAAAGGTCAAGGTCACATTGACCTTGTAAGTAAAAACGATATCAGATCAATAACTAAAGAACGCTTAGGCCTAGTAACTTCAAACTTGGTATGATGATTGTTCATGACCAGTAGATGACCTCTATTGATTTTGGAGTCATAGGGGTCAAATGCCAAGGTCACATTGACCTTGTAAGTAAAAACAGTTTTTGATCAATAACTAAAAGATGCTTAGACCTACGAACTTCAAACTTGATATGATGATTGGTCATGACCAGTTAATGACCCCAATTGATTTTTGGGTCAAAAAATCAAAAGTCAAGGTCACATTGACCTAGTAAGTGAAAACGGTTTTCGATCAATAACTAAAGAACGCTTAGACCTAGGATCTTCAAACTTGGCATGATGATTGGTCATGACCAGTAGATGACCCCTATTGATTTTTGGGTCAAAGGGTAAAAGGTCAAAGTCACATTGACCTTGTAGGTAAAAGTGATTTCCGATCAAAAACTAAAAAACGCTTAGGCCGCCTAAGAACTTCAAACTTAATATGTTGATTGTTCATGACCAGCAGATAAACTTTATTCACTTTGTGGTCAATGTCTCAAAGGTCAATGTCACATTGGCCTTTTACGTAAAAACGGTTTCCGATCAATACCTGAAGAACGCTTAGGCCTAGAAACTTCAAACTTCGTATGATGATTGGTCATGACCAATAAATGACCCCTATTGATTTTGGGGTCAAAGGTCAAGGTCATATTTATCTTGTGTTGGTAAAAACGGTTGGCAATCGAAACTTAACATTCCAAGGGCTGTTGGCCCTCAAACTTCGTTAGTGCATTTGACTTGACAATTAGATGACCCCTATTGATTTTTGGGTCAAGGGGTCAAAGGTCAAGGTCATATTAACCTTGTAGGTGAAAATGGTTTCCGATCAATAACTTGACAAGCCCATAGCTGCTGGCCCTCAAACTTTGAAGGTGCATTGGTCTTGGCCAGTAAATGTCCCCTATTGTTTTTTGGGTCAGGGTGTCAGTGTCATATTGACCTTGTACTTAAGGACGGTTTCTGACCAATCACTCAACAACTCATGTTGCCTTGGTTGATATTTTTATATTAAACTAAAAATGCTTTTCGTATACACATTTGAAATTCTTATGTAATATAACAACTTGGCTGTCATAATTGAGGCCTACATGATTCATACAATTTATGTATATATTATTTGGTAAGATTTGTTATAACTTTGTCATAAAATTGATGCACACAACCTATGCGGTCACAATAATCATTACCTGACTAGTCATATCCAGTAGATAACCCTTATTGATTTTTTGTTCACTTTGTTCAGTCATAATAACCTGATCACATGACTAATTGGCTGCCGTTAGAGGCATACGTGTTTTACAAACATATCTTGTTTGGTCAAGTTTTAAGGTATTATGGTTTAGGATATATGAGGTAATATAAGTAATGTAAACAACTATGAAAGTACTCGTTTTATATATCTATAACTTATTTGTAATTAATTTTAAATTTTGTCCCTATTTAAACTAATTCTTTTTATATACGATTCATTTTCCTTCCAGATGAAAGGAGAATATGCAAATAGAACTCATGTAAGTTTTGAATTTTTATCAAAATAATTTTCAAATATTTTTGCCTTATGTACTTGATGCTTATCACACAAAATACATTACCACCCCTTGTCGTGATTTTGACAACCAATCCCAATATGCTGTATGTTACGATTAGATAAAAAAATACCCACAATGCTATCTTCCCCATGTTAGGTGATTAACATCATTATCGTGCGGGTGTTAAGGTCAAGGTCAGTCTTTAAGAACAAAGGTCAAACTTGTTGTGTTTTGGGGTATATGTCATGTCAGGTCCATTAATTTTTTTATCCATCAAGGGATTTTTTAAGTTTCTTTGCAGAAATGTTCACTATACTTAGACCACGTGTCATGCCCTACCTCAAATGTTTATGTCACAATAAAAGTGAATCGCTTAACATGGTTTATGATAAGGTCTGTTTTGTGTCTGGTTCACAACTTTTCTATTCATCATTGAAATAACTGTGCACAAATACATGTATATACTAAATTAAGACAAGCTGGGATGCTCAACACCCAGACCCCTGCCACTAATGTTAAATTCACACTAACAGGTCAAGTGTCCACTTGGTATGTGTTTCCCTTGCCCTCAGTATAACTCACCGAATATAAAAGAGATTACAGTAAAACCACGGATTTATATTACATGGTAATATTAATCCATGGTAAAACTTAAAATATAAATTGAAGACAGTGAGATGACCCGCACTGCAAGAAAATCGTAACTCATCAAAAAGTTTCCAACTTATCTCCCTTAATGAACTTATTTTCAGTGATAAAAATGTACAAAACATGTAATTCTGTTGACACTTAAACAGGAGTTCTTTCACTTCTATAATGAATTAATTGTTGCATTATACGCAGATCTTGCAATTATCAAGGGTTTGCTCTGAAAGTCCTGATCCATTCCTCCAACTAAAAAGTACAATTATGTACATCATATAAAACTTCACTCAGGTAGGGGATGTTGGTAACTCCTTTGAGATTTCTTATACCCATAAGGCTGTTTGAAAACAAAAACTGACTGGTTTATTATAATAAACAAGTTGCTTTCCACTTCTAAATGAAATAACATTTATGTTTTGTTTTTTAAATTTACAAGGATGTGTTTTTTCAGTCGATTGAACGCCAGAGTAGTGATGATAGTGGCTTTACTCCAATGACTCCTCCAGCTGACAGGTTTGTAGATCAACCTTCGTATAATGACACATCTTTTTTAAGTAGCCTGTCTACCACAACTTAGACCTGATGGTTATTGCATAGCCACAAACGGTACTAGTCAAGCAAGTTTGCCAATCTTACATATCCCGTATACTACAGACATTCTAATTCCACAAAATCCAATTGTGGCTGATGTCGGCTTTGTATTTGATGACAGATACTCGAAAAGTGGAGAAACCTTTTTGTTGGATTTTGGTCCAACTCCTATGCATAATGAAACGGCAATTAAAACAAGAGTAAAGAAAGAATCCGGTGATTCCTGGTATGAGTGAGACTCTTGCAAAAGAAATAATTGAGACATCAGAAACTGATGTTCTAAGTAAGACTGTCGAACATGTTGATAAAAAGAATTCTCAAATTGAACCAATTATTGGTAGCAGTGAATTTCATACACTACTGTAAAGAAAAGAATTCTTTTTATCAACATTGTATGCGTGTTTTTAATGACCATAGGCATTTTGTTTTTGTGTGTATCACAATTTATTTGTAGAAACGTTGGTTAAGCATTAAAATGCATGTATGTGTATATAGAAATAATAGACATTTCTCTGTATATGTAATAACACATCTATCTTTGTATATATTAAAATGATACGCACTTAAAATTAATGTCAGACATTTTCAACGTCATTGTCATTTTATGTATTGCAATTTTACTCTACATTTTTGTTGTACATTTTTTCTAGAAATATACACCTTTTCACTTTTTTAACATTCATATCAACATTTTAGTGCCTTACATGTTTGATGAATCAGATTTGTTTATTTTGTTTTGTTTTAAAAATTTTGTGTGAATTAAATGAATATAGAGAAACATGGATTGTTAAAATATAGTTTACATGTTCCCTGTTATGTGGCATTTATGTAAAAAGTTTTATTTTATTGTTCCAAAAAATGTTGTTATACAAATCATACTTGTCTATTTTTGTATGTAAAGAATAATGTGTTGGAAAAATGATTCATGAACAATGATCATTTCCAAAATCAAAGTTAGGCACACCAATATACACATTTTAGGGAGTAATTGTTAAAGCGCATCATAAGCACATCTAAATATTATGTTACCTACCTTCGTTGATTTTATTCATCTGAATTATATTTAATACGAGTATACATGTAATTTAGAACAGAATAGTATAAACATGTATACTTTGGAAATGATCATTGTTCATTCTTTGAAGGGGTTTCAGTATCAAAATTAATATGAATTCCTTGAATCTTGCAAACTGTTGGCATTAGTTAATCAGTATTGTTTAAAGGTGTTTTTTGTAACTTGCATAATTTTGAATTGTTTTGTATACTGTACAGTATATTTTGATTCTAAAAAGCACCACTGATTATTGTGTAAATTTTTAGCTCTTCTGTTTCAAATAAAAATTCGAGCTATTATTATTACTGCTTAGTCGTTGTCTAAGTCGTGCACATGCAACAACTTTAATGTAGTCCGTTTTTCTAAACATTTTAAAAGGTAATAAAGTAGGCATACTTGCTTAACATGATAAGGTGCAGTTGATCATGACAAGGTCAGTTGTAAAACAAGCGGGTTCATTATGAAAGCTATACTCCTAGAGTTATATGCCCCTTTTAAGTTAGAATCTTTGGTTATAATTGGTTATTTATTGTCAGTGCGCTCAACAGACGAGTGTTAAACATGACATGCGGTGCTTTTATTTGTAATTGTTTGGGGTTGAGTAAGCAGTCTTTTAGATGATTAAGATTCCAAGGTTTGTCTCTTACTTCAGCCTTAATATTTCTTCAAAGTTTTGACTCTTTGATTACCAGTAAAGTTAAGTTATGAAGCAGACTTGACAGTCGAAATACCTGAATGCTTCACTATTCGATGTTGATAAATATTTTTAATTTGTAATTTAAGTGCCATACTGTATAACAAAAAAATCATAAGTACTGTGCTATTTTTATTTGGATAAGTAACTATGCTGACTTAACTATGCATGCATTATTGTGTTGATATTTTTATATTCTGGGAACAATGTAACAGATTTGTGATATTTCAGTGATATAAATGATTTTTTGTACTAATTTTTGTAAGTTTGACTTGACAAAGGATGAATAAAAAATATTAATTTTGTAATTTGTAAAACAGTAACATTTTATTATGCATAATAATTTAGCAACAATGAACTGTTTTGATACATGTTATAATTTCTGGCAAAAACATTAAAAAAACAGTTAGAAATATATTGTTTTCATCTAATTGTTTGGCATGTATAGGAAATCTATGAATATGCTTAAGACCTTTCGTTTTCTAATAATAAACTTGCATTTTATACTGAAATCTATAATCTTTTTTATTGTCTGCAAAAGAAATATTGCATAGAGATTTGTTCACGTTAATTTTTACTGTGTTCTATGAACGTTGCCCGCCGATGTCAATATTTTCTCGCCTTTTTTACATTTTATACTGTTGACTTTAATCCTTAAACTGCTGATTTTCGTAAATGGACTTGTCCAGTTTTATCTTATAACAGTCCATTTTAAATTTAAGGTATTTCAATATGGAAATACAAGGAAAGAGCTTGGTCAAATTGCATGACTGTCCAGGCTAAATACTGGTGGCAAAGGCTTATCGCTTTTGGTCCCAGCAAAGTATATTTGTTATATGCAATAATCAAAATGCTGTTGATTCCCTCCAATTCAGATGAGAAAACTGCAAAAGTTTAAGTTTTGGTTCTTTTTACAGATTGTGCTTATTGTTATTGATTTTTAAAGTGAAATTATGCCCATCTAAAGGTATATAGTGAGTGAACAGGTGAGAGTCCCAATAGATTTTCATTTTGCCATAATTCCTTTTGATTTAATAATTTACTTTGCATAAACACTAAATAACCCCCGTATCCAAACGAAATGTCTGTAAATATCATTTAGAATTTACCTGTAACGTTCAGTTTATAAAAAGAGTGGGGCAGTCTTTTTATATTATATGCAGATTTTAAATTTTATCTTAAACATTTTCCAATATAAACTTTTGTCAAACATCATTTAAATAGTCAATCTTTTGAAATGTAAAGTCAAACTATGAACATATGAGCATAATTTCACTTTAATCTTGTATATTGGTGTAAATTTTATGAAACGTCCAATACATTTCTCTTTTGTTAAATGGCATTTTGATGAAGTCTATTTACATTAATATTTTTAATTGACATTCAGGAAATAATTAGATTTTAGATGTCATGGCATGAGATTTTGATTGGTGTAAGGTAACATAACGTTTAAACCATGTATTCCAAAAGAAGTGTTTACTTGTTAATTTTCATCAATAAATTGTTTGTTATATATATATATATATATATATATATATATATATATATATATATATATATATATATATATATATATATATATATATTATGATACATTTTTTGCGTATTTGTTATTGATTACCTAGAGTTATAACTTACATAAGAATGTGAAAAAATATATAAACTTAAGATTATGTAATATCAGAATACAGGTCTGTCGAAGAATTGGATTCTGAAAATGCTTTTGATTAATGAAATAAGATAACACAATATCAATCAATAATAGAATAAATTTATCAATATTCTTTTATGGAATATTTTAATGAAATCAGATAATAATATCAATCTATAATACGATGAATCAGTCAATATTCATTCTTTAAAGTTTTTTAAAAATGTCATAAAATTTGTCTCTTTAAGGACTCCTGAACCAGTACATTGTTAATCAGGTTTGAGTACAGTGTCATTTTCGTCCCATTAATGGATATTTACATGTATAGCTTTAACATTTGACAAATGATCATTTTTCAACAAACAAACTAAACAGTTTTGAGGAAAGGTGAACTTACGGATATAATATCATTTTGTCTCATTTTGTCAGTCTCTGATTATCTGACATAACGAACAGGTAACCCTCTAGGTTCTTCTGTCTATATTTAAGTGATTATTAAACCGTCGATGATTACAATTACGATGAAATTTGTCTCAGTGCCATAGTCTTGGAAAATTAAAAAAAATATTTTTTTTTACTGATTTTTTTGCGTACATATAATGTTTCTGTAAACTAGCTAGTATGCACTTGATAATGTTTATTCAGGTTAGTATTTCAATCACTTTGTTTCTTGTTTACTGCAATGTATATTAGATTTTAGGCGAACTTGTAATTTCTGTGTCTTGATCACGTAACCATTTCAATGTCATTTTTTTCTAGTGTATTTTATGTGCTTTAAAAAATGTTACAATTTAAATTCATATTGCGATGTTTTGTTTAATCCACATTCTTTTATTGTCATATAAGTTGAAAATTATCATGTCATATAAAGTGCATATACACATTTAAAGCATGCATAAACAATTGGCTGGTAGTTCATGAATGAAAAATGACTATGTACACCTGTGTAACGTGCACCAACAATATGAAAATACGCGAATTTAGGAAATACGTGTATTATAAAGAAAGAGTCAACTTATATCTTTTAAATGTTCATTAACAAGTAGGAAATACTTCCATGATAAATAGTCGACATGCAGTTTTGAATCGGCAAACAGTAAGGAAATACGTGTATGATTAAGAAAGACCCCACATTCACCTTTTAAATTCGCATTAACAGTTTGATATAACATAAATGATTAACAAAAGGGGTCCACATACACTTTTGAGATGTACATATGTAATTGGTTGGCGTATGAATATTTTACTGACTATTTGCTGATTGCTATTAGTAGATAAATTCACCGTATACTATCCTAGTCAATAGAATTGCATTATACTTCATGTCTCACAAAATAAGTTACATCATGTTCCTTCTGTTGTACAAATGTATATCAAATATACTACATTTCAGAAAATATTTATCCAAATGTGTTCTTAATACGTCTTTTGTATATTTTCTGTAATAAAGGCACTGAAATATTTGTTTTTTTTTTAATTTTAATACATCCGGTGCTAGAAGCGGTTGTCAAAGTGACATGGTGAGCTTTTGTAATCGCTTTTCGTCCGGCGTCCGTCCGTCCATCGTCCGTCCGTAAACTTTTAACTTAAACGACATCTCCTAATAAACCGCTAAGCCAATTTCATCCAAACTTCACAGAAATGTTCCTTAGGAAGTCAACTTTAAAAATTGTTCAAAGAATTTAATTCCATTCAAAACTCTGTTGCCATGGCTTAAATATTTTGCATGAAACATCATCTAGTCAGTGTCTACCATGTTTATTCAAATAATAGCACTGGGGTCAAAATAGGCCCCGCCCCGGGGATTCATTGATTTTTCTTAATTGTCTACCAAGTTTGTTCAAATAAAAGCCCTGGGGTAAAAATAGGCCCCGCCCCAGGGGGGTCATTGTTTTTCCCCTATGGATACAGTTAAACTTGTTTGCTCGAACTCGGATCGCTCGAATACCTCCCTTCGCTCGAACTCATCGCCCAGTCCCGGCACAATTCCTATATAACATACAAATTCCCACAAATGTAATATTTAATGAAAGTATGTAGAACAAAATACATGGTTGTACCTTAAAGTATATGATATTACAATTCCCTTTTATGGTCAAACGATTAATGTTTCTAATTTTGAAATTATTTATTGGTTGGGTTAATAGTTGTATATTATTTTAAAACACGCCGGTATATATTTTAAATGATCATTCTGCTTGTAAGGTAACACAGGCACTGTAAATGGTTTTATGACAATTTTCCAACTTAACTTGTAAAACAAATCATAAACACTGGAAGTAGAACAACAGACCTTCCAAACACTACTACTAATAGCTTCGTCACATCTGACATGCATTTAAACAGTCCCTATGAAATATAAAGCCATATAAACCATTATTTAGCCGTCTTAACCACACTGCCATGAACGTTCCCCTTATAAATGGGTATATGAACACAGAAAAGCAAAAAGCCGCCCGGTTAGCTCAAAAGGTAGAGCGTTGGACTGTGAATGGGGCAAACCGGGTTCGATTCCCGAACGGCGCAGGCCATTATGAAATTCTTTCTACGGTCACTTGCACTGTACCTCTGCTCTGGCATGTACAGAAGTAATCAGTTAATTGCGAAAGTGAAGGCAACTAGTGCTGGTAAACTGCTTGACAGCCTGCACAGGAATTATGTGGTGGCTGAACGGTGCTCTGGTAAATTCAATGTGGCTAACTGCTGTGATCCGGAATGAAAACTACCAATACCAACAGAAAAGCAAAAACAATCTGTAAAAACTACTTTAAGAGTATTTAGGAAGATATTAACACTGTAGAATTAACCAAATACAACAAAAAACAATACCTACAAAATTCTATTCTAAAGCATTATATCAGACAAATTGCAAATCATGAAATTAGACTAGACTATTTTACTCACGGTCACATAGAAAACATGATTGATTGATTGGTCCAAAAATAGCTCATGTGCCTTCTATTTCCATATACACATAGTCTATTTTTGCACTGATCCATCAAAAATAAATCATGGAATTTATTCAATCCTACTTAAAACAGCACACCTCAAAGTACTTTTAAGAAATAAATAAGCATTCAATATAAATATTTAAATATTTAATTTTTTACTGTATTGTACCCAACAAACTACCACAGAATTTACAATTTTTATCATAAAATTTCAACTCACTTGTAAATGAGGTTAGAAAAATACCGCTACTAAATAACTACAAAAGTTATTTGTAGTTTCTGTGGATGGTAAGAACCATAAGCTATACTCAATTTCTAATACATACATTTGACAAAATATTTAATCATTAGAACAATTTTCTAAGAAAAGAAACAATTCTGGAGGCTACTTTAAGGACAAATAGGAAGCTGTAGATTTAATGTCATGACCATACCTAGAAATATACCACATGACAATTAATAATCAAATCATAATCCTATATTTTTTCTCATTTTCTTCCCTCATTTATATAAGAGTAAGAAAGACATTTAGCACATATCAAGGATAAAATGATAGCAGACTTTCAGACACTTATTTACTTATATGTATCAGTATTGATTGGACAAATGAGCAGACTTTTATAATCCGTTTCATTGGTACTCAAAAAAATAAATGTTGAGCTACAAATAAACATTACTATATAATTATAATCTCTTATAAAAGTCTCAAGGGCATTTTATTTTCAAAAAAGGGAAGGTGGAGGCGTGATTCAGTATCAAAAAGTATCTTCAAAATAAAACACTTTTTAGAGTTCTTGCGTTAATTGGCCCTTCATTATTTATAGTACTGCATTTTTGTAACATTGCCTTTTATTGCATAATTATAAACGGCTATTTGTAAATAAAACCCGAGCCGTTAGGCGAGGGTTATATTGCAAACAGCCGTTTATATACGGCCAACAATCATTATAACAAATTTATAATACTGGAAGCATCATTTTTAGAGGAAAAAGTAAGATTTCTTCATGAATCGACAGCAACCGTGTATATAAAACTATATTAACGTCACGATTATCCAATGAAAAGCGACGTTACAAACGTGCAGTATTATAAAGTTTGATATAAACGGCCGCAGCTGCTTTCAATTTATGACAAAGACAGATGCCTGATGTATTATAAATTCCTTATAAATATTTCTGACAAGTTATAGGGTTGTATATGAATTGTTGTTTGTAACAACACCCATACCTAGAGGCTCATGTTATATTTGAATTCCAAAAAAACCATTTATATAGGGCCATATAACATGTAAAAAATAGTTTAAACTATATCAAATTTTAATTTACCTCAAGAAGAACCAGCGGTCATTTAGCTGTGTTAAAATTTATACTAATTTCTTAGATTTATAATAAACTGTTCAATGAGCATGTCTGTGATATATTTGATGCCGGAAGGTTTAATATTAATAAAGCATTCTGCTGTCTACATCTATCAAGTTAACATTTAAAACTCAGTTAAATTCAAGGTGGCAAAATCAATTGTCTATATTTCCCAGGTTGTCCCACAACCTGTACAGACAAGTGACATTTTGTTTTTAAAATTTACTTTATGAATATCGTAAAGGCAAGTAAGGGAAGGTTTCAGATAAAATTAGATTCTGCCTTCCCTGCATTTTACACTAAAATAATCTATAACGCATACCTCCATAATAGTCAATCCTACTCCTTTTCTTTGTCGAGTCATCCCAACTAGAGAAAGATTCGGTAATTTCTGCGTATGGAAGATGTAGCATACCCCGAACACTGTATACCTCACCCCATATTGGTTGATCTTCTTTCACTTCTACTTTGTTAGGATCACTATTGTAATGTACATATTAATA